AGAGGACGTTATTGAAACGCCATCGTCGAAAGCTTCAGAGATATTCAAACTAAATGTTATGGATAAATATCTATTGAATAAACTGAATAGCAAGTTTTCGATTCGATGAAATGGTAAAACAAGTTTAATAGGTGTGGTGCAATCGTATTTTGATAACCTTATTAAAAGTTGAAGGTATTAATCAAAATATATATAACTCAGGAACTTAGTATATCAGATAAATTGCTCTAATTTCAAACTTTTTTATATTGGACAAATTAGCCAAAACCTGAGTAAATGCCTTCATCAACACAAAAACAACTAAAAAAATACAAAACAATAAGACTATTTTAACCGAGCATATAATTAATTTAAACCATAACATGGATTTTTTCAACCCAAAAATTTTACATTTTGAAGAGAACGTTTTTAAAAGAAGATTCTCTGCGCGGTTGTTTTTGCAATTGCATAACGATTGGGTCATAAACAAACGATTTGACAACACGACCCTGAACGAAACAAACACGTGGTTCCTAAATAGCGTGTCAAAATTTTTTTAAAAAGGAAATTCGAATTCAAAATGGAAATTTATTGCGACCACAAATGCCTATCTGTCTGCAGGGTTAACTAACAATATATAGATGTCCATATAATGGCATATAGAATACCTCATATGCTGCATATTAAAGGCTACTATTAAATCTTTCAATCAAATATGATGTTTATAAGCGTTATATTATTATTCATGTGATACATCATATGCGACTTTCAGATTCGACAATAAATATATTCTTTTATTGCCATTTTAGTCATCTCTACAATATTTTCTATGTCCTGTAATAAGCTTATTATACGGAGTGCTGTCTCGATCCAGTGCCAATACTGCAACATTGTCAGTTATCGGAAACAAAATTTTATTCAATTTAATTTACTAGCCCAGAAAATATTACGGACCTCATATCGATATAATGTTTGGGAAATAATCTTGCCTCGTACTATTCGGCATCGATACCTTTGCGGTTTCCTATATTAAATTCGATAATTAATGTTCGCGTCGAAGTGTTTTGTTTGATTTGGAGGGTTAATAACGCCATAGCCAGATGTCACAGACCATGGTTAGAAATACTCCATCCCACTTCTGATTATATTTTTCCCGGAGACCGTAATTGTTCCCTATAATAAAAATTGTTCGAGCGCTATATTGATAATAACAAAACCGCGCGATATTGCTCCGCAATGTGTTCAGTTTTATATAAAACTGTCACGAGAAAAAAAAATTAACCACGATAACCGAAAAATTGTCATATTATCACCAAAACTCTAAGTTACACTTTAAAGCTTGTAGTTTTTAAATTACGTAAGAATTTTCTTTCCATTTTTTTATGGTAGGTATGATCAATACCATCACCCGTTATGGCTTGACATTGAGTTTTGGGTCATAAGAATAGCAATAATGAAAATCCAAATATATTCCATTTCTCGTTTCAATTATCGTTTTCCTCAATTAGTTGTTGGCCAAAGGAGCAAATAATTAGTCGACCGACGATAAAGTTGGCGCCTGATCAAATGTTGATGCAATAGTGGTACGAATTGTATGTATTCTCTGGTCGTTTGTGCGGATTTGCTATATCAACATATTTGTCGAGGTTTGCAACTCAAACATTGTGCTATCACACGATGGAATCAAAGTACATAGCACTTGCAAATATCACCACCACCTCATAAGACGCAAACATTGGAGAGTTTGCGAGGAATAGATTTTGCACGTCGTTTGGTCTATTTTTTCAATAATTTTTGCAGCATGGGTCGTCGATTCGAGATAACTTAGTAAATAGAAAATAAAACAATTTAAAAAGTCAAATTTGAAAAAAATAGTATATATCAGTAAGTCTATACATGTATGTTTTAGATTGTCCTTCCAAAGTTTTACGATACGTTCCCAAACGACACATTTTACAAGGCATTTTACCAATTCAGATTTACGACCAAATATTTTATACATTTAAAAAAATCATTATTTATCAAGGCATCGTATATAGAACGACCTATCATAAACTGGCAAAGAGTAGAGAGCTAATTGGTCGTAACTATAAATCCAATTATAGAGCTCTATAACTAAATTATCAAGGCATCGTATATAGAACGACCTATCATAAACTGGCAAAGAGTAGAGAGCTAATTGGTCGTAACTATAAATCCAATTATAGAGCTCTATAACTAAAATATAAGTCCATCATTAAACATATCGATGGCGATAACAATACATCCGGATCGGAGCCTGAAATATACGGTGCTCTATAGAGTTTCACAGCATAATAAACAAATATATACATAATCAAACGTTATAACGAAATTAATAGGACAGGATTTGACGATATTCATAGTGGATCTTTATTGCCTGAATAATGCTAAAGATTATCTCACACGAAAACTAGGATCGATACGGTATAATAAAGAATAATGTTAATAATTGAAATTGAACCATTTTATAAAAAAATTATTAAATTTTTCATTTATATTTTTGATAAAAACGCAATTTAATTCAAAATTAAACTATAGTTACAAAAAGTTTTAACTGTAGTATGAAAAAAACATAACTAACAAATAATTATTTAAATTTTTTTGTAATTGCTTATAAATAAATTGCGTTTTTTTTTAAATGATAAAAAGTAAAAAATAAATATATTTAAGTATAAAAATAAAGAAAATGTAATGAGTGAAAATTATGCCATCATATGCTATATCACATAGAATAGTAATTACCAAAAAACTGAATCTAATTAGTCAATAAGAGACTGTTGAGACAATAAGAGTGTTGGCTGATAATTTTGTAAGAAATGATATTTATAATATTTTGCCTGTGAAATAAATGTACCAAAAATCGAATCCACTTGTTAAAATCGGTTTATATATTATAAGGTCTATGTTAAGCACGTAACATATGACATGTGACATTTAATCAATCCGGAGAGTTCCACGATTATCGTCGGCAATGTTCGTTCAGACATTTGACGTCACATACCTTTCTATGTTTGAGCACAATATACAATGGAAATCATATGAGGCACAATGGAAACCATATGGCAGTCCATGTAGTCTAATGTCTATGAAAGCTAGCCATAAATTTTAAAAAGACAATCAAACGGTTTTTTGTAAAAAAAATGTATATTTTGATAGTCTATCTATCTTAGTTTATTTTGTATGGTAATAATTATTTTATTTTTTCTAACGTTTTTATTAGACTGACTATATTTTTCACTTTCCTAAAAGTGTGTTCTATTACATTTCGTGTGTAAAATGCCCAATATTATCTAGCTGCAACTGAAATAACAAATGATAGTTGTTTGGCCGTCGAATCCGTTTAAATTAGCTCGTAGATATACACAGGCACATAATATCAGTAAATCAGGCGAATGCCGTCCGGACTGTCAATGATAATTCCGGCATATTAACCGGAGCGGGCGCACTATGTTAATGTAACGTCATTATGCAAATTTGCATGAATATTACAAACATTAAATCGCTAGATGCGAATGCAACATATGATCTCAATTTTAAAACTTCATTTTGATGAAAAACATGTAATAGAGAAGCTTAATTTAGCTTTTGTAAATGATGGTAATAGATATTCAAAATGATAATGATTGAAGGTGTATACAGATTTTCATTGCTTTATTGAATAAAAAAAATATTCTGATTATCAAAACTTGATAATATGGTCGACAATCTAATTTTACAAATTTTTATTTGCATGATTATTTCAGACGGTGACATTTTATATGTGAAATTAATAATGTGTAAGTTGAGAAGCAGAATGTTTATCAAGGAGTTAGAAATGGGAATCACAAAATTCGACTTCAATAAAATATATAATGCGGATTCTGAAATACGAGAGTTTGAATTTTGGTATTTGTAATGTAACATTCCTAATATTTGGCAAGAAAAGTTTGAGATACATAATAAATCAAAGAAATTTTCAATTTTAATAAGAAATTTGAAATCTGGAATATGAATGTGAAATATGTAATTATTATTTCTGAATATCCATGAGATTATCAATAAATTATTGAATAAAGAATATTACATGAACTCATTAGAGTGACACTAACACATAATAATGAAAATTAACAAGTAATTTTATATTTGCCAGCAATCGCAGGTTTATAATTTTTTTTTACATATAGGAAAATGCAGCTATCTGAGCCAATTCAGTTTGTATAATAAGTTGCATACGAGACAATTTTCTTTTTTGACAAAACTCCAGGTGTGTTTAAAAGCTAAGAAACAGAAGGATGTGTGTAACTGAGTGCAGTTAGTGCTTATGACAAAAAGCTCTATTAGATTGTAGTCATAAATTTGGATACACTTTTAAGTACATATTGATAATTTTATTTTTGCAGAGAAAGCTGGAATTATTCAGTTTATCAAAGCTGTTTTTTTTCAAGTAGAATTAGTTATATTGGTGCATTTATGCCATCCCAGTACATAAGTGGTTAAGTCGAACTTCGGGGAAAATGTTTTAAATCGCGGTATGAACTATTTTTTTGAAAATAGTTATTAAATTGGAAAAGTATTGATTAGGGACAAAAAATAATGAAGCACTTTATATAAAATTTAAACCATTAATTTCAAATACACGAGTAATAGAACTTTGAAATCAAGCTTTGCAAAATAGTTTCTTATCGATCGAAAAGAATAAATATTTAAGCAAAAACATTCCTTACTATTTCTAAACTCAATATTCCCCGAAATTACTGAACTTGAAATTACTGAACTTGATGAACGTCGTTTCCTCTTTATAGCGACAGATTGTAATTTATGAAATCAAATAAAAAAAATTAAAAATCTGAACTTACTTTATGAGATCCTAAAAAATCACAATTTTCATTGGAATGAATATTTTAAAATATCTATATGATTTATATATTGGTATGTATATCTTGCTCATATTTATTCATCTCGATCGAAAATTATGAATGAAATATTTTCTTAAATAATTTCCTTATTATTCCTAAACTTACTTGATGTGAGTCGATCCCTCCACGCCATCGGGTTTGCAACCAAACCCTGAAATCCCGGCCAATAAATGCCGCTTCTCTGTGACAACTCCGCGAGATGAGCGGCAGATCCCGGCGGATGTTTTCCCGCTCCGCCTGACCCGACGCCGGCTGCTGCCGCTGCGGCAGCTCCCATGCCGCCTGCGACACCGGCAGCCTGCTGTTGAAAATATTGGGCCATTCCTGCAGCCGCGGCCGCTATCGAAAAGCCGCGCTGCACGCCTGCTGGGGAAAGAGATATACTATTAGTTAAAGGGATACTTACATCTAATTATTTTTGTAATTGCTTATTATACAAGATAGCTAATTCAGGAGTCGATTATTTAAACCCACATAGATATAATTTTATTCCTGAAGTTTGGACGCATCTTAAAATTCAATAGATTTTATTACCAACGTACCTAAAAGTGACTTGACCGCAATAAAAATTGTGGCATTAGTCGATCCTTTTTAGGGATTAAGAAATTTTAATGAGGGTCACTATATGATCACATATGGCAGAATTATCAGCAAAACGTATGCATACTTTATGGCCCTTGGAAAAAATACGCGAATCGCCTTATATTATATTTTGATTCAATATAATATATGGTTGTGCGAATACGAATGTTTTATTGCATGTAACAGGAGATTAATGGGAATATCGCGAGCATAATGTGTAATAATTATTGTTTTATTATTTTTATAATGCTTATTATAAAACTTGTTTGTATGGAGTAATTATCAGACGTCGTTAATAATTTCTGCTGTGCCAATTTATAATTATAATAATTATATATAATGCAATTAATCTACTTGTTTAATAAATGTAGGTTTTTTAACAAAAGCTATAGATCTTGAGAAATCAATCTCACGATAAATCAAAACATGAAATCAGAATTATATAGACATAAAATATATTTATATGATCCATTTTTGATATATATTTTCCTACAATCTAATTGAATATATTGACAAATTATACACACGTGACATTCAAAATGTTTATAATAAACAAATTCTCTCGCCTAGGTCTACCTATTCTGATTATCAAAGTATATCTTTCGCATATTTAATAATTGATTTTCAATTTTTCAGAATGATTTTGTGGAAGTAAATTCGTGATCTTTGTATGTTTTTTTTCTGATGCTTTTTCATCACAATTATACAAATAACTCGACGTTTCCGGCCGTTAGCTTTTGTGCCCGACGTCCCGCTGGGGTGTTATATGATAGATGGATTTTTTGTGTGAAGATTTCAGTTAGTCAAAATCATTCTGTGCCAAACGTTTCACACTGTGAATATCATTGAATGAATAAAAATACTACTTTCAATTGCAAACAAATTTGATGTTTGGAAAAGGAGACATCTGCAGAAATTAGTAAATGACAAATATTATAACTTATATTTTTAAAAAGTTAGAATAACGCGATTGATACCACGACATGTATTATTAAAATATTTTATGATTAAATTTCTGAAGTTTGCTTTGGATATTAGGTTTTAAATATTGAACTATTGTGGAATATTTGTGGAATAGAGAGAAATTTGTAAAATATAAACATTTTTTATGAAATACCAATATTATCAATATTAAAAAATGTTCCTTCGAATAAAATTTCGCTTTCGAACTTCCTACAATTTGCCTACATCTGTGACAAAATTTCATTACGACTATTTACCAAGTTAAGTAAATACAAAATTTTCAAATCGACAAAAATGAGTGCTAAGGATTTATAGATCAATATTGCAAGCAATTAATAATTTTTGCTTCTCATTTTCTAATATTTTTGTACATAACGTTTTTATTTTAAAGATAAGGTAAATAATCGATTTACCTTTATAAACTTTTTAATAAAATGATAGGAAAAAATTTAATTCAGATACAGAAGATCAAACTGTTGTACAAACAATAATTTTCCAATAATTTTGGAGCAAAACTGCCGTCGCTTACGTGCATTTATAGAGTATATAATTTATATATAACAGTCGATTGAATATTATATATAATTTTCTAATATATCAAAAATAGATAATATCATTTAAAATAAATTAACATTAATGTTAATTATAAAATAATAATGAATATATTAATACGAAGATTATTAGTCAAATGTTAAGAGCGTTTAGCAGAATGAAGCGATTTGTGAAAAATAAAATAAGTTTTAACGACGTTTGTACAGATAAGAATTTTCACAATAATATTTATAAAAATTTTGGTTTAAGGAAATAAAATCGACGGTTTTATTCAAAGCGTTAATCGCTCCAACAATATCAACAAAAAAATCATAAAAGCCGTGATAACTTTATAAGATACTTCAGTTAAAAATGTTTAAAAGAAAATTGAATGAATCAAAATTTTTTTCTGGAAAAATGTTATTATATATTTGACATATATATGATCAGACATATATGTCTGACATGGCTCATGGAGAGCATCTTAGCGTCAGACATATATGACACACATGGCGATTAACGTTTCAAACACATGTTGAATATGATTTGCAGTAGATTTATAGTTTCTGGCTCTTCAGAAATTAGAATGAGACCACAAAAATAGTTTCTTAGATACATTTTTCGTGATTTTAATGGTAATTTCATATTTAAAGTAATTAGATGTAAATAAATTTTTAAAATAAATAGTTTATCTACTCACCATGCAGGGCTCCGAGAGCCGCTCCGGAAGCGTTAACATTGGCCGGCCTCGACAAAATGTGGTCTATCCCATGGGGGTTGCTCGCGGTACTACTATGATGGCCTGCGGTTGTTCCACCGCTACTTCCGCCGCCAGCACCCTGGCTTCCAGTAGAAGCACTCGTGTGCGAACTTCCAGCGGGGCTAGCTTTTCCGGAGCCCGGACTACCGGCACCCGAATGCCGCATTTCCGCCATCGAATGTAAGGCGGCAAGCGGCGGGCTCCCGAGCACAAACGGCTGGTGTGCCGAAACACCGAAAAACGATAGCCTGCCCGCACCGGGCGGCTGTTGACATTGATGTTGCTGAAAGTCCAACATACTGTAAGATCCTATAGGCGATAACGTAGGCGGTGTAATGGTACCCGGCGATGAAGAGCCCGAGGTGACAGAAGACTCCGTTTTGAAAGGCACTATTCGAATTTTATCATAATGATCATAACAGTTCACGGTGGTAAATCACACAAATGTCATTGGTAACACAATTGAGATAAATTGTCACAAGTCACAGTAACACAGCAAAACACTGATTATAACACACGCGATTGAAGTAAACACTTTTGGTCCATACGATCCGATGGCGATGCGAGACGACGACTAAATAAAACGTGTTTCGGCATATCGCCACCTAAACGGAGATACAGTCTGCGCCGTTCGCGAAAGGAGTCCCTTCCCCACTTAGCGACACTTCACTGCGACACTTAATAATAATGCCTCAACAATGCTGTAAGTGTATAAGCTCCACCCATTTCATTGTTGATATATACACCAGCAGAACGGGGCGTGCCGGACTATTGTATTCCGATCACGGGCTACGTCTCGGCTCAGGCGGGCTACGCGCGCAACCCCGAGCCGTGCGCCGGAGAGGGACCGCGCGCGGTTCGGCGCTTTCGGCCTCGACGGGGTCTCGCTTCATTGAACAAGTTATTTAACGCGCCAGAAAAAGATAATGCAATGAATACTTAAAGCATTTTAATATCGAACAGAAGGCTAGAAAGCGATGCTACGATCGGTTTCGAGAGAGAAGAGAGAAGCTTATATTTCAGGCTTAAGGTTAGAATGTACTTATTGTAATTCGTGTTGTTTAATGGTGTTTGTTACTTACGGCATTATACAAATGTACGTATGTACATGTCTATTAATGCAGATAATTATGTCTGCATATGGCTTTGCTCGAATACGACTATCGCAAACACATTCAGCGTTTTATTACTACAATCTTGCACAATATAATGTGGAAAGCGCAATTTGCTTTCGAATGCAGTTTGTACTACATGTGGTATTATAAGATTATATAATACAGCAAATTAAAAATAATCGGATAAACTATTGGAGCAGTGCTTACACTGAGATTATAATAATTATGGTAATTAATAGATATATTTTGCATTACTAAAATAACTCATTCATAATTAATCAACTACATATTATTAAAAAATATATTTATATGGTGATTAAAATTCGTACAGGGCTTGAAGGTCCGCGGATAAAAAAATCCACAACCGACATCTCAAAAACAAGTAAAGTTAGAATCTTTTTAACAACAATATTTGAAAGTAAAGGGTATTGTTAATTTTAAATTAGATTCAACAGTATTTTTTATATAACGTCTATAAGAGCATACATGTGGATTTGGTAAAAAGAATCAACTGAACCCTTACCCTGGCAAAGATGTAAACATTTAAAAATGAATTAAACTAAAAGAAAAACAATTTTACATAAGATCAATTAAATAAATAGTTATTCCATCTCTGCTGATAAATATTTCTGACAAAATACCAGATCAAAGTTATAAAGAAATCTTTGTAAAAAAATGTACACATGAAATAAATTTTTGCATTGGCTGAAGTGTGTAGCTATGATTTCAAAAAATCATTTTTAAATTAAAAATGACTCGTTTTAGACAATATAATTACTTAAAATCAAATTGGACCTTTGTGCCCCACCCTACCCTAAGTATACATATTCAAATAAATAAAAACAATTTATATTTCGAGAGTCAACAAATAAAAAGCTGATCTTTTCCCCAATTCGAACATTTCCAATTCCATCAATTTTATAACCACTCGAAAGCATTCGGAATTCGAAATGCATTCTTTTATAAATGACTTTAGTTTATGACATCAGTCATAAACAAACCAATAACTACAGAAAAGCAGACACTGGCGCGCAATCATAAATAGTTAACCACCATAATTTAGTGCATGCGTGATACTAGAGTTTAGTGGGATAATCAGATCATATTTTTCCGAATGTCTTAGAGATGCGATTGTGTGGTAGTTAGGATAGTTGTGGATATAAAGCTCTTTTCACGCTAGAGACGGGTGAACGAACCCTCTATCAAAGAATAATGGGGGACAAAAATTTACTATTGTTCGCAATGCATTATTAATAATGCGAATCCATGAAGTTTGCTGATATTTATGACAGCTTTAAAATGTAATTAACCCAATTTAATGTAATGGCATCTTATAAATTTTATTATCATCAAAATGTTATTAGCTTTTCTACCGCGTATAATTAATGATATTGCAGGCAAAAATAAGTTTAAAAATAAATCCTTGATACCTTAACTTTTAATTTATTATAATAAAACAAGTAATAACACTACGAATATGAAAACTGCGTAACAAAATATTTCTGTGAAACAAATATCATTACGAATTATTATTCATTCAGCAAACAAAAATCCCAAAAACTATTCTGAATAAAATTGAACTACAATAAATTTGTATCTAGTAAAATCAATTATGGAGATTATTGATCTTTTTAGTGGGTTGTAATATTCCAAAAACAATAGCTACGTATAGCTATTTATGACAAAGTGTATTAAAAATATAGTTACTTTTAAAAATCATGGACAATATACATTCGATTTACCATTATTTTGTGATATTACAAATTTAGTTTTATTTGGAAAGCTAATCGAGAGCAGAAGTTGTGCTCGCAAATTTTCTGTTTGTATCATCTTTGCCGAAAATACTCGAGAGCATCTTTATAAGACTATTTAAATTTTATTAGAAAAACAGTGTGGTTCTATATATAAAAAATAAGTAGTTCAAATTCAAAGGAATATGAAAAAATCGTGGGTTCAATTATTTTAGCAGTACTTTTAAAAAAAAAAATTAATAATTAATTAATTAATTATCAGTTAATGAACCAAGTCTCCGATAAAATAGATCGTAACGTAGCGTTGTTATGGAAACGTTATGTTACTCCCCTTCATTTATATAAGTAGGCAATCAAAATGCTTTGTATTTTCTAGGTGGTTTAAAGGCAGTTGTGATAATATTCTTTTTTTTGATAAGTTAGGCTTTATATCAAAATCGCCTGACTGCACAGCAAATACCAATTTACATGAAGAAAATAGCGTAACGTAGCCTTGCCATAAAAAGCACTTGCTACGGTATATTTTATCGTAAAATTGGCCCTTAACTCTTTACGTGAATTAAAAAAAAATACTTGTAACATATATGAAACAACAAAAAAAATCCAATCTTACGAATTTCAAACTTGAATTATACGTTGCATATCTACATACGACTTTAGAATAATATGAATTACGAAAAAAATCCGTCAATAATATATTTCAAATATAAAATTAACGATAATCGTATTTTGATAATTTTTTTTTTTTTACTCACGTGACCATCTCCGAAGTGAGCGAAGAGCTTTAAGCTCCTCTCCGGTTGTCAAACAAGTGCGAACGCACACAGAGAGAGCTTTGTGGTGTGAGTTAAATCCTCGCATTAGGGCAATGCGGCCGGCCAATCTTTTCGGAATTAACGGCAATTCCATTGGTTGCATCGTGTTCGTTTAGACGACCAGGGGAGTGTCACCGTTGTGCCATTGGATATCCAATATCCCCACTTTAATCCCAGACAGAGGTTTTCAAACTGCAAAAATAAAAATATTTGATTTTGTTATAATAAAAGTTGTTGAAATCTTATTGAATTTAAATGATGATTAAGGAAATTTATTTAGCAATTAATAATTAGTCACATTTTTATTTTTATTTAATTTTAAAGTTTGAATTTAAATTTAATTGTAATTCAAATATTTAAATAAATAAATAAATAAAAATTGCACATAAAATTTAAACTTAAAATTTTAAATTTTACTTGAATAATAAAAATATTATTAAAATATTATGATAACAAACATATCTAATTTGATTATATCATTAGAAGCACTATAACTTTGGTCGTATAACTTAAGTTTCATGAGACTTCTGATAAAACAATATAAATGTTAGGTGATGCAACTAACAGCTCCTTATAACAAAATTTAATTCTTTCATAGTACGTAAAAATGAACACATGAATATTTTTTTAAAGAACTCAGGCGTATTCATATCAATATCTAAGCTCCAGCTAATAAACTAAAGGAAATTTGTACAATTTAAGTTTAAATTTGATTTGAATCAGATACATGAAATTTAAATCTTATGAGACTTCTGATAAGAAAACACCGTTGTTCAAAGATCCAACTGCAAGCTTCATTTATAATAAAATTTTATATTCTCTAATAATGTATAATAATGAAAACTATATTTTTAATAAGTTCACTTAATTAAATAAATTAAAGTCTAAACTAATAATATAAAAATGTTTTTACTTCTTCATATCGGATAATTCGATTAGTACCAAAAGAAAATATCAAATATAAATATAAAAAATAGAATTTTACAAATTGATTTGACATAATATATTTTTTAAAAAATAGAACATTTTTAGTCAAAAATTAAAAAAAACAACTAAAAATTGATATAACATTCATATTAAATAAATGAGATTGGAATCATATATGATTCCTATTAGAAAAGTGTACAAACTACCTAATAATTGTAAAAAATATAAAAGGATTTATAATTATATTGTTGAATATTGAGTTTCAATTTTTTTTCAAATTTAGGTTATACAATTATTGATTATTATATTTTTATAATTCAAAATATTATTTTTTTTAAATATATTTAAGTTATAAACTTGAATTAAAATAAATGTCAGAATTCAATGAAAAAAAAATAAGAATTTGATTTATATTCAGATTATTTATTTATTATTTCAGATTATTTTTATTTGATATAGTTGTGTTTCTCACTTGAATTGAAACCTATCATTTATTATTTACTTCCCATAGGGTAAGTTATAACAATTGTCCAAAAATCGAGAATCTCAGATAAAAAAAAGAAAATGTATGTGTGTGTATATGTTCGGATACAAATTTTCGTTCACGATTTCGACAGCACGGATCAACCGATTTGAATAATTCAATTTGTATTGATAGGTTGAAGTGATATGGCAGTTAAAAATGATAAACATATGCACATCATACAATCAAATATTTTATAGAGATTTTAATAAGCACAAATTTTGTTTAATTTTATATGGTTTCTGTACCAATGTTCAGGTGTTAGACTGCGACGCGGCGCTTACGCGCTTTGATATTTTGTTTCTATTTTTTGTAAAAAAGTCGAACAATTTCAAAAATTTCTGAATTCTCAAAAATCCATTTAGTTCAACATTTTTAAAAAATTTGAAGCTTTATTAAAAATTTTAATTTTTGGTACAAAAAGTTCTAGCAATTTGTCTTCAGGCACAATGCCAGGCATCACTAGTTATTTTCTAAATTAATATCTAATTATTTTCAAAAAATCTATCATTTAACCATCTATTTCTTCCTTTGAGAGCCAGTTTCCCCACCGCCCCGCCCCGTTCGTGCGAGCGCAGCATCAACAAGATGATCTGGTCCATAACGGACAAAGACAATACGAAAATACACTACTCTCGCATGGGCTGTCAAAGCGGTCGTTCTGCCGCAAAAGCGGTCGCTCTATTCCCTAAGAAGGAAAGAGAACCATCTCCTCGATGTGAAGAAGAAATGTTTCATGAATCCGAAATGGTATGAGGTAGATTTGGATTTTGGGACTCTTAACGCGCCCGAGTGGCCGACTGAGATCGCTTTTGAATTAAGATAAATTATCTGCGAGATAATGCGACGCGTATTATCCCGTTCGCGTACAGGACGGCACACGTCGCAAAATTACAGAGATGTCACATTTGAGATCGCATTTATTTCCTATTGAAATGGATAATTATATGCTAGCTTCATAATATAGTTCAAATTACTTTAAGTCGATTAAACTATTAGTTTCCTGTAGGGTGAGTTATAGTAGTGGCAAAAAAATCGAAAATGAAATTGTTTACATACCTATACATTTCAAAGGTTTCTGAACATTTTGGCATACCTTAGAAAAAATGAATGTATGTGCGGATACAATTTTTCGTCGACGATTCCTAGAACACGGATCAACCGATTAGAATGATTCGAAAAAACATCTGATCTGGCAATTCAGTTTTAGAGAGGACTAAACATACAATTTGAACAAAAACATTTACTTGTATTAGCTAAATATTTTTTTTTTTAATTTTTGAAAAGGCAGGTCTAGCGGTTTTGAAAATCCAATGGCAAAAGCAAAAAAAATGTCATTCCGCCTTCAAAAATGCTCATTAGACACATACGTATCAAATTACCAGATACTTTATAGGGATATAATTATTCTGAGGCAGTATAATTCTTCAAAAAAAGTTCATATTGATAAACATTTTTGAATGTAGTAAAACAGATATTCAAACAAGACTTTTGTAGTAACATTCGTATTATGTCGGTTTGTTAATATTTTATAAATTTTATGATTAATTTGGAGCAGTGTTATTTTATTAAAAAAGTTAATGTACCTAAATATTCATAAACGTTTATGAAGTTAATAAAACTGAAAAAATAATACTTTTAAAGCAAATTGGTTGTTCTATTCTAACATGATTTTAGTCTAGAAGTTATCCAATTCCAGAACTTGAATAGAAAACCCGATTTAGATAAAAAAAATATTTACACAAAAATCTTATTAATTACACTTTAATTTGTAATGAAAAATTCATCAAAACATCTGTATTTTTCAAATTTATTGGTACTTTCTCATGCTTTTAAAATTGGATTTTAAATTATTTTGCTTGCTTTCTTGAATAGATGAGAGATTATTAATTCTTTTAAAACATGATCATGTTAAAAAGTTTGTGAATCCTATATAGACGATTAAAAATGTTCCAAAATCTCGTATGTTGGAAATTCTAGCTCAGTTTATTTAGAATTGTTATCACAAAAAAGCGATTAATTTAATTAGTCGTAAATGCCTAAAACTATACGTGTTTAAATGTAAGTACTCATATTTCTTTTCCAAATAGTCAATCAAAATAAAAACGTAATATTTTGTATGAAGCTGTTATGAAGACGTTTTGGAAATAGATAGGTTCCATCACAACGCATCGTATCAATAACAAAATATATAGATTTTACTTTATTTTCACTAATTTTTACCAAATTACATGTTGAATTTTTTTTGATTAATTTTTTAATTGTGGAACTTGATATAAATGCATGTATGTGTGCTTAAATCCCCTTCTCTTCTTGAAAGATATTTAATTAAATATATATATATATATATATATATTTACATTCTGCTTAAATTAAGTGAAAAGCGTAATTTATTCAAAATTATTAAAATAATGAAAGAATTCACGTTTTAATTTTGTAGTACTGAAATGAAAATACTTTAAACATTTACTAGAATTAAATTATAGACTTACTAAAATTTATAACAATATAGGCCTTTAAAATGATAATATTACATATATATATATATATATATATATATATATATATATATATATATATATATATATATATATGTTCATATACATATGTTTGTCCTTTAAATTTTAATATTAAATTATTACTGTAATGACAAAATGGCACTCACATAAAACTCAAGTAAATCTTAATATTTAAATTAAATAATAATCCATGAAACCTGTTAAATTTATGCAAATCAAAAATGTAAATCACCTTTTCCAAGTACGAAGAAATCCGAATATAATATTTCGCAAGACCTCATATTATTATCAACTCGAATAATTTTGAATAAAAATTTCCGGCAAGTTTGGAATAAAGTTTATACACGGCTCCGGACGTGCCGAACATGGTTAAACTTTCCGGAAATGAAATTTAATGTCATGTCCCACGCAGCACGTGTTTCCGTCGCCCGTACTAACACCAGGAAAAGCGTACCTAGCAAGTACGGACGACGTTAGTTGCTTAAACTAATGTAATCTCGATAGTTTGCCGCCAGTTTCTTGTTTTTGGTCATATTTTCATGTTATAATCATGCCTGGAGAGGGATAATAATTTGCAATAATTATTACTGGCCATAGATGATATAATATTATGCCTTACTATATTAATAATTTACTAGCGCTATCCTAGAATTGAAGTTATATTTTATTAACATTTTGGGGACGGCTGTCCACCTCAGTGGACAAACATACTCTGTGAGGCACAGGCTAGTTTATAAACAATGACTCAGTTGCATCGAAAAGTTGAATAAATCACATATAGCAGTGATAAACAGTAGTATTTTTAGCCCTTTTCTTTGCTATATGGTCTTTTTTAATATTTAAAACGACCGAGCGCTTTTAAATATGGCAAAATGACTGGTAAATTTTGTGAATTAAGCAGTAGTGAAAATGAGTTTCAAATAGATATTCATGCAGACAAATTTTACGAAATTACTATTCGTAACGAAGATAGTGATGAATGTGATGACGATATTATCTAACCAACAAAAAGAAGAAGTTCGACAAATTAAATAAAGAGCGGAAAGACATTAGCGAATGTGCCGATTCTCCTTCAATAATCGAGTTTGACATACATCAACAAACACCCCGACTTCAAATACCAAGCAATATAAGACAACCAATAAATAATTTTACTGTATATTTTATAATTGAATTATTAGACAATATAATAGAAAAAACAAACCATTATGGCAACAAAAAAA